GCGGTTTCCCCACCACCCCCTGAAGAATGATGAGTCCCAGAAACTGCCAGATGTCCTCTTTGGTCACCGGTTCCCACTTTCTGCTTCTGGAAAACCTGGCATGCAGCGTAGCGGATTGCTGCTCTTGGTAGCGATTTGTCTCCGTGACAATTTTTTCAATTACCTCCTCAGTGAGGAATAATTGCAGGTATGCCAGAGGGTTGTCACGCTCAACATCTACCTTCATCCCAGGTGATCCAGTGAACAGGAATCTTGGGGTGCTACCTGGTCCGTATCGCAGTCAATAGGGCACCAAGTGCGCACATCGCTGAGGTCAGGTGCAGGATCATCGCCGTTGTCACTTGCCAGGTCAGTGTCAGACGTGTCAGACGACAAATCTCCCCACGACTCACTATCGCTCACTTCTGCGAGCACCTCCGTGTCGCTGTCACTCAACTGGCCCAAAAGCGCTTTTGTAGTAAAGTGGAGCTTTTTTGATGCCATGTTATAAATATTTTATGAGCACAAATGACAGTAAAATGGCAGGCAAGGGGCACTGTACTGTGATCAAGTGTCAGATCTGAGGTGATACAGTGTAATCCTCTCAGATTACAATGTATCACCTCTTTTATGTGTGTGTCACTTTTATGTTACTTTTGAATTTCCCGCCCAGTTCTGCTCCCATGCGCCGCTGCTGCTCGCAGGGAACGGAACCAGGAAGTCAGATGCCGCCGGCACTCTCGCCGGCGATCATAGCGGAGGACATCGCTAGATCGCCAGGAGAAGGTAGGGAGACTCCGCTGACAGCTCTGCAATGTTACCCCGAGCGTGACTCGGGGTTACCGCTCCTGGCAGAGAAAATTAACCCCGAGTCACGCTCGGGATTACCGCCAGGGAGGTTAAAGTGTTTAAAGACTGGACTGTCAGCCGAAAATCTGGGTCTGAACGTACAAATTGTGGCCGTTAGCGACTAGTCAATGTTAGGGCAGAACGGAGAGTGGCAAGACTGGTACAAGACAACAGAAGGGCAACAGTGCAGTGTCAGAATCCTCGCATCACCTTTCAACATCTCGTGGAATCACGAGGTGGCCTAACAAAGTAATCTCGTGGCCCAACGAAGTACTGATGGGGGTGGTCATAATAATCTGGCCACTTGGTGTATAGTAAGCAAGAAAACAAGCAACACATAACAGTTCAAGTCACGTAATCAGAATATTTGACAGGTTTCAGTCCTCTGGTAGTAGGCTTGGGTAAGCGAGGCTCCGGATCCTCCAACTGTCCATCTCCATCAGACGCAACAGGGCACTGTTCCTCCTCTGCAACAGGATTTGTAGGTGCTACTTCATCCATAAGAGGCTCATCCTCAACAGGAGTGGGAGAAAGTTGCACATCTGGTTCCCTCGCAGATAAGTCCCATTCAGTAGCAGCAGCCTGGTTCTCTGTAATTCCTTCAGCTGGGGATAAATTCTCTACCGCCGGCAGAGGGGGCAGGTACCAGGCTGCCGAATCACTGTTGAGGATTTCCTGGCTTTTGTCCAGTCTAGCAGATGGGGGAAAGACAGGAATAGGATTATCTATTAGTGAATCAGCACTGTACACACAGGGACGAAGAAGATTACGGTGCAGTCTCTTGTGCGGCCCATCTGGCTTCTCTGAAACCAGATCATACACAGGCCGCCCAGGAAAAGGTTGCTGCTTGACCCGATATGGACTGGGCTCCCACTTGGGCTCCAGCTTGCTGCCCCTCAGGTGTTTGGGATTTCTTACCAAGACTCTGTCTCCAGGTGTAAGTGGAAACAATTGAACAGCACTTTCCTCGGCTAAATCCTGATGTCTCCCCAGCACTATCTGTTTGGCTTGATCCAGGCGGTGCCAGTGATCTTGGACCCATTCATCAGGGGTCCTTGCCGTGATAGACTCTGAAGTTTCCAAAAGTAAATCCACCGGTAAACGGCCACAACGGCCAAAGATAAAAAAATGGGGAGTATAACCAGTGGTTCTATGCAGTGCGTTCTCAATGTTCTTGCTCTAATGTGCAAATCAATCCTAACAATGTGCGATTAAAGCGTTCACAGGCCCCATTTCTTTGGGGATGGTAAGGGGTAATATGAGACTTCCGAATACTACTAAGGCGACACAGTTCAGAAAACACCTTGGACTCAAAGTTCGGCCCTTGGTCAGACAGAAACCTTTTGGGGCACCCGTAGGGCTGGACCACATGGGTCCAGAACAGTTTAGCTGTAGTGACGGCCGTCTGATCTTTGGTTGGCAACACGATGGCGAACTTAGAGAAGTGGTCCACAAACACCAAGGCATGACGGTACCCCGAAGAGGTGTCAGCCACTGTCAGAAAGTCCATGGTCAGTAATTCAAAGGGTTCTCCTGTGCTCACCACCAAAGGGGTAGTTTTCTCTGTTTTCCCTTTGTGTATAGCACAACTCTGACACCCCTGACATGCCTTCTGCACCCACTTAGACAATTCCGGACAAAATATGTACGTACGAATAAAGGCCTCCGTCCGTTCTGCACAGAAGTGTCCTCCAATACGATGAAAGACTTAACAAACCTCTAAGGCCTCCGATTGAGGGATGATCAGTTGATGAATAACTCGCGGCTCCCCTGGAACCCGTGTCTTCCGGTACAAGAGTCCATTATATCTTTCCAGCATATCCCACTGCTTTAGAAGCTGACACAATGTCGACGAGAGCCTTCTTCGCTCCTTAGAATCTGGTTTCCGATTCCTGTCCCAATATCTCATGAGCTGATCAATGTCAGGGTCTTTCCACTGGAGTTGCAGCCACTCTCGAGGAGTATGAATCTCTGGCCCTCTTGGTGGAACTTGGTTACTTTGCAGAGCCGTTGAGGCCAGTTGCACTTGCAGGTTGCCACCAGAGGAACAACCTCATCCGCTTCGAGCAGTTGATCTATATCATCCTGAGGCTGGTCAAGAGGAAACTGGGAGAGGGCATCAGCATTACCATTGGAGCATCCTGGTTTGTAGTGAATGGTATAGTTGAACCGGGCCAGTCGTGCCACCCAGCGTTGCTCCAAGGCCCCAAGTTTAGCAGTCTCTTTTCGATGACGACCCAGACTACCGCTAACAGCTCGAGTTTAAAAGAACTGTAGTTGACTGGATTACGTTCTGTAGAGAGTAAACTCCGAATTGCATAGGCGATCACACGTTCAGTTCCATCTTGCTCTCGAGCAAGCACAGACCCCAATCCTTGGAGACTGGCATCGGTGTACACCCGGGAGGGTTTACAGTAGTCAGCGTAAGCAAATATGGGAACAGAAGTCAACTTCGCCTTGAGGGCCCCCAATGCCTCACTTTGTGCTGCCCCCCAACTGTCAATAATACTGGGAGAAGATTTTCCTTTTCAGTGGGCAGGTTGTCCACGCAGCAACTGGGTCAAGGGGGCTGCAATAGTAGCAAAGTTCGGAATGAATTTGCGGTAGTAACCCACAAGCCCCAAGAAGGAGCGAAGCTCTGTTACCGTTTTAGGGATTGTCCAAGTCTGTACCACCTGAAATTTATCGGGATCGGGGGACACCCCTTTTGCCTCGACCACATGCCCTAAATACTGGATTTTGGTTTTCATGAGATGAAATTTTTCCGGTTTGAGCCTAAGGCCATATTGGGCTAGCCGCGTGAGGACTTGATCCAGATGTAGCAGATGGTCCTCGAACGTTTTGGAAAAGATGATGATGTCATCTAAGTAAATCAGGACGGAGTCAAAGTTCAAGTCTCCCAAGCAACGTTCTATTAGCCTTTGGAAAGTGCTTGGGGCATTAGTCAGGCCAAAGGGCGTCCGATTAAACCCGTATAGTCCCAGAGGGGTGATAAAAGCAGTTTTTTCACGATCCTCCTCTTTTACTGGGACCTGCCAGTATCCGCTGGCCAAGTTTAGAGTGGAGAAGTACTGAGCCTGCCCCAAGGCCATTAGGGATTCTTCGACCCTGGGCAGTGGGTACGCATCTCGATGAGTACAGGCATTCAATCTGCGATAGTCCACACAAAAACCTAAGTTGCCAATTTTTTTCCGCACAAGAACTATGTGCGTAGCCCAGGGACAGTGACTCTCTCGAATCACCCCCCCCCCCCCCTTGCAGCATACTACGTAATAGGTCTCTGTCCTCTTGACAAAGAGCAGGGCGTATATTACGATACCTTTCACGAATAGGAGCCATGTCTCCAGTGTGGATTGAATGATCCAAAGCATTAGTACAGCCGTAGTCTTCAAGGCCCTGAGAGAATGCGATCATATTTCTACGAACTAGTTGCTGGAGCTTGTTTCGTTGTTCAGGGATCATCCCTTGCACCGGAAGTGCAAGTTGTGCTAACAATTGCGAAAGGTGGGCATCTTCCGAGTCAGGTAGGGCCGTTTGTAAATAAGCACAGGCGGCCTCCACCCCAGGGCAAGGATCAGTAATACAGCTTTTGGGTACCGTATACAAATCTGCAATGGCCACGTCCGTGGGCACTTGGATAAGAGTGGACCCCAAGTTAACCAGTTGCACCAACACTTGTCCCTGCCGGACAACCGACAGAGTCCTGGCTACCACCTATTCACCTTTTGTTTCCAGATTACGTTGTGGTTCTACCATCACGGTAGCTCCTGTTACGTGTCTTCTAGTCACCACGGGAAGGGGGCACACCAACTCACGACGTGAGGATATAATAACCCAATGCCGGGCAGGGAGGCGGATGACCCCAACTTTCTCTGTACAAGCGTTGATCAGATTCTGCAGCTGCGGCTCTGACTGCCCGGATGTCTGCTTTGAAGCCTCCCGAAGAAGGCGGGTTGAGTCCAGTTCTTTTAGAGCGTTCATGCCCAGCACCACTGGAATCTCTGGGAAGGAGGCATTCCAGGTCACCACAACCCCGACCCTTCTGAGGTTTTGTTCATAGACCTTCATGGACATACAAGTGACCCCTGCTACAGCTATCTCTTTCCTTCTCGGGCAGAGCCATCACAGCCCGGCGGGCTTTCCCTTCTAGCGCATTAACAGTCAAATCTGCAAAGTGTGCTGCGGGTATTTCGAACAAGTGGACTGAGCTGTCCAATCTCTCCACCCAGTCTGTCAGGGAGATATTGGTGCCATCAAATTTTGGAATCAGTGCCAAAGCTGCTCCATATGGTGCCATGATTGACCCTCTAGCCACTCCCCCGCCTGAGGACGGTGGTTCTGACATCCTGCCGACTACGCCAAAATGTTGGTGGGGTTATGATGTGGCGGCTTCACAGAGGGAATCACACGTATTGGTCTTGTAAACAAAAATAAGAGAAGGTACTTCTAGACTGGAGGTTCTGGTGGGTGACATAGAGTATAATGTGATACCCTTGATGCAAAATGTAAGCCTTCCTGGAAAATGCTATGATAACAGTGCAAAACTTTGGTAGGTTTTTGGACCTAATAATAAATTGTCTACTACCACTAGACCCAATTCAATATTTAATCCCTGTATGACCACAGCAAAACCTAATTTACTTCCATTGCGCCCCAGGTTTGAATACAAATCTAAAATCTGGACACAGTTGCCTCTAACCATAGTACAAAGTATACATTTCATAAAAATTACATGGCTACCTTAACTCCCTCATATATCTTTCACGACACTCATATTTGGATACCAAAAAAATGGTTTCACAAATG